GGGCCCCCCCCCCCCCATGGACCCCTGCAGGGCCTCGACCTCTAGGAGGAAGTCCAACCCCTCATTCAATACACACACTCCTTTGGCTTCAAGGATTGTCTTTCAAAATGGCAGCAGGCGTGGTGGCAGGCCCGTAGGGCAGGCATGGGTGTGGCACGGAGATGACACAGGCTTTCGTCATACTCCAGGACTCCTGGTGCCGGTGCAGTTCTTTCTTTAAGGAACAAGAAGACTTTCGGGGCCTTTGATCAGTCCTCAGGTAATCTACAAGTCGGACGCTCGTTGGGTATGTCATAGAACCTTACAGCTTTAACAGACCTGGGTTCAGGTTCAAGGAGACTGAGGAGAACTGTTCTGGTGAAGACAGTGGGAGGGGACAGTGAAAGTTTCAAGGTTGCCAGAAATCAAGGTGATTTGCAGACTCTGTGAGATCTTCTATATGCATAAGATAAGCCCTTATAACCTCCAGAGTACTTCAGAACCCTTCTCAGAGATCCTGCCTCCCCCCACCCAATTTCTTAGTTCACCTTGTGGGGTAAGACCCTCAGGAGAGAGGGCCTTAGAGTCCCTGATCTAGGCTCTCGGTTCGAGACAAAAGCTCCCCAAACTAGGCAGGCAACTCTGCCCCTTGTCCGCCCCTCCCTAGCCCCTCCTCGGTTTCTCCCAGGCCTGGCCTCTACCACATCAAGGCCTCACCAGCTGCAGGTTTCCATGGAAGTAGGGTCAGGACATTGGTCACAACAGGTGGCCCTGCCCATCCCTTGGTTTGGCCCAGTCTTGAGTCCCAGACTTGAAGTGGGCAGAGGGTGGAGCCAAGTTTCCCTGTAGTTGGATGACTTGATCTCTTCAATGATCTCTGCTGCGGTGGATTTCTCCGCTTCAAAGGCAGGGATGGAATCGTTTAGGTGATTTTGGACAATGAGCAGACACTGACTATCAAGTTAATGATGGGGCTGAGGATGCTCTCCTGTCTTCCTGTTCCAAGGTTTTAACTCCCAAACTAATTCATTTATGAAGTATTTATAATCTGTCTCCACTAGTTATGTTTTTAGCTTAATTTAAACTTCATTCCTTCATATGAACAACAAAGACCTGTATGTATGCAGTATTTAGATTCTTGCAAATCTATGTTTAACGAAAAATTGAAAAGGTGTTTTTATTGTTCTGCTTTTGAAAGTTCTAAGAGGCTGGTGTTCAAAAGTAACATGCTGGGCTGGCCTGGTGGCGCACTCAGTAGAGTGCGGTGCTTGGGAGCGCGGCGGTGCTCCCGCCGAGGGTTCGGATCCAATATAGGGACCGGTCCGCTCACTGGTTGAGCGTGGTGCGGGTGCGACACCGAGGGTTGCGATCCCGTT